GGACTGTTGATTCATCATGGGCTGTTGATTAATCATTGGCTGCTGGGTCATCACTGGCTGTTGGTTCATGGCAGGAGCACCAGGAGGTGCCATGCTTCCGCCCATAGGTGGCAGTGAAGCTCCAATTGACGGAGGGCCTCTAGAAAACCCATTCGTGCTCATACCGGGTGGTCCGTTGTTGATACCCATGTTTGAAAACTGCTCGGTGAGTCCGTTAGGTGGTATGGCTGCGGATCCGGTTGGACCTCGCATTCCTTGACTAATTGGAGGCGTCAAACCCGCAGGTGGTCCATGCATCATCGGTGGCTGCTGCCCAGTAGCTGGATATCCTATTGGTGAGCCATAACTCGGGCCGCCGCTCATGGGTGTTGGATGTCTGCCACTTTGTTGCGAAAGTGGAGCCGAGGGACCGGACACTATATTGCGGCTCGGCACGAAGCCATGTGATCCACCTCCCATATGGTTTGGTGGAGGTGGTGGATTCAAACTTCCTGCGGAAGGTGGTCCGCTGTTAACACTGCGAGTGAAGGCTAAGCCGCCACTGCCCGAGAGCGGCGCATTTGCTTGGGCCGAATGAAAGGGATGTAATGGTGCCGCTTGTCGAGTTTGTGCTTGCTGCTGCACATTCCGCTGTGTCGGACCACCGTACGGCTGATATGGAGGATTATTCATGGCCGTGAGCCGCGTCAATTGCTCTTCCTCTAGGATATTAAGACAAGCTCCACGCGGCTTAGGAGGGAGGGTTCAGAAAAAACGAATTTTCTTTTAAAAAAACTGATGTCCACACTCAGTAGTAGACGTTGAGATTATATTTAATAGTGACAATGATGTAAGCAAAATAGACAATTCGTCCTTGGGAATGGGGCTATTGTCAGCTTCGTAACAGACTCGGCATCTCTTTGGAGAGTCATGCGCCATGTGCGCGACGCTATGGCTGATAGCCAGGCTTTATTTTTTACAGAAGCAACACATGCCAATGTTAAGTTGTTCTCTCGCAACAGTGTATCATGGCCAAGGAATGACTTACATTACGGAAATTCCAAAGATTGCAAGTTCATCCTATGACTAACTGAAGCTGTACCACAAACCTGGTCTAACGGGCCATTAGGCCTTTATGTATATAATAAAATACCAGTCAACGCCTCAGTAGTTCCTCGTCGCTAAGCTACATTCTGCTCTAAGCAGTAATTCATTTTTGAAGCTCTTGGTTGTCTTGTTCTTCAGCCTCGCAAGTGTGTCTGAGATGATATCGGACGCGATCTCAGGTTTTCGGAAAGGGCTTACCTGACGCGTCGACAAATAACAGAAGAAGCTTTACGGGATCCAGCGATGTAAGGATCATCCTTTGCTGCATCAGCAAGGTCAATTCCGCTTTCATTTAGATCACATTGTAGATCGGCGTATTTTAGATATGTAACATCCTCTATTTTTAATACTCTAGCTTAAGAGACATGGTCGCACCGCGCAACGCGCTTTCCTTTAGGAGTGGCGTTTGGCTTTGTTCCAAGTTAAGATTTGGCCGGCAATTGTGTCAGCAAACTCGTGGTTAGCATCATGACTGCTGTCTGCAGGGACTGGAGACGAGATAGTATGCCTTCCTGATGTCGATATCGCTTTTTGTGCTTCGCGAAATCATATTGGAAGCGAGGTACTAGTTTGATGTCAGTTGCTGAACTACCTTTCGTAGCAAAAGTCACGACGTATTGAAAGCATGTGCATCATCTCTTTAAAGCAGTCATTCGGACTCCAAGAAACTATTGACCTCCAGTGTTACTGAATCACAATACCAAGTTGAATTCAAAAACTTACACGTAAGAGCTTTTGGATAAAAGCCTGTCAGGCTAAAAAAAGTGACAGTGATCGTCGAAAAGTTGGGATTTTCTGTTGATGCTATTGGCAAAAATCGCCAAGACTTTTACGCAGAAGTGACAAGATGCTGCCTTACAGCATCGGAATAAAACGCTCTTCACGCTAACGTTAGGTTTGTTCATCATATCGTTAGTATGCGCTTCACACACAATTAGGCTTTTCGATCAGTATCAACAACTACTCACAAATCTAGTTTCCCTTATGACAAAATTTGAAAGATTATCGTAAATGCCAACCAACATCTAAGTTTCTGACTTACAAATACACTCCGAGCTCGCGTTCACGACAATGAATGGCATAACTCTTATAGCTTTTCAGTGCATACCTGATTGTCAATCAAGTATGACATCAGCTGCGTCTATGATTCCAAGAAGCCATTTCCTTCAAACCGACCTCTAACATGAGTAAATAATTATACGTTTAAAATACTATCTTAGTCTGGTAACAAGTAATAACTACGTTCAGCATCTCTGGGTCCTACTTAGGGTGCCAAGAGAGGAATTTACAGCGTAAGCAACTGGTCTAGCTGCAGAAATCGTCATACTATTTCAAAATTTCCTGGGTTAGATCTTCACAAAGGCTGCAGCATTTGGCAAAATATTTGGCACTGACGGCTTGTATCCGGGAGGGGGAACGTTAATGCAAACTAAACGAGAGCTTTGCTGTGCTAATTCGAAAGCAAAATAATTACTCTATAATTCAGAGGAATAGCATCATTCGGCACGAATAAGCGAGAAGCCTTTACAGCATGAATTGTATTAGTGCTTTCTGGCGCTGATTGATTAAGATAGGAAGGTACGAATAGAGATGAACGAATTGGAAATAGCCTGGCAGTGGAAACAAGAGCACACTTGAACAATCTACAGGACCCTTACTTATTTATGGAGCAAAGAAGTGATTTTCGTTGCGATAAGTTAGAAAGGAACATTTTTCAAGAAAATGTGATGGAAGATAGGACTAGATGTGCGTGAGCTGGACAAGTTATAGGCGTGTGAAATCATGTTGCGGTAATTAAGGCTTATTCAGTGAGCTGCTACTCTCAAGCCTCCATTTTATAAAGTGTTACTCTACTTCTTGTGCCAACAACTGATCCGCCAGCACATCTTCTAAAGTCTTAATTGCTCATTATAAAATCTGAATACGCTGGTTTCTTTGCAAACATGGGTCACCATCCAACTTTACGTCGTTCCAGCTTCAGGTTCTATTTTTATTGTCGCCTGTGATGTGATAAGAATACCATGTGCGCCAGAGAGCTCAGCCACCGAGATCTTGCAAAACTATGCGCCATGAGCCTAATCATATGCTTGTTTGTAATTGAAAAGTCCGTCGCCAACATTACTGTTTTTGGAGGAATTTGTGTTTCATAAAGTAGCACTAAAAAATTTATCGAATATCAAAATCAAAAACTCACGGTCCCCCGCGTTAGCACAGCGTATCGTCATGATAACTCCGGGCAAGAAAGGTCAGCACATCAGAGAAGCTAGTGAATATATCGATTCTAAAATTTTGCTCTCGTTAACTATGATTCGAATGAGTAATGCCGCTCGTAAGAAACTACAGTAATTTTAGGACATTTAAGTCCTATTTCAATTCAGTAAATATTTATATCAAACCAAAACAAGGAGGTCAGGGAAGCAAATGTATCAGAACGACAAATAAATCAAACGAGTTTGAAGCTAGTGAAAACAGAAAGTACAGTATACTATAACTGATTATGATTTACGAGTGTCCAAGTGAAAATTTGAATAACTTGCGAAAAAAGCTTTTCGCAGAATCAAATGTATTCTACTATTAATAAGCTACACCCCTCGTCAATGCTAAGTTAACGTTAACTGTATCACTGTAGTAGGCAGTGATTTGACCGAAATGGTCATCTGCAGTAATGATGATACGTGCAGATGTCCGCTTGCTTCTAACACTTCCAAAATCCAATCACTGCTAAAAATTGAGTAGAACTAATGTATGATTCGTAGCTATCCTTAATCTCATAAAAAGTGCTAAGCACATTTGAGTCCTGCAGCCATTGCTGTATGAAGACCAGAGAACCTCACGGACGCCAGTCAGATAATCTGTGCGGGCGGGAGATAGCCCTAAAGATGAAAGCAAATGTATGGAATTCATATGCAGGACAGCAAATGTCTTCGTTAGCATAATGTTCTGGAGAGAGCCTTCGATTCATATCAGTTCTTAGTCCGAGCAACTGTAAAGGAGCGACGAATGGAGTAGATTAATTTCGTGTTGTAGAGCTGTTCACAGCTATTTAGAAACTTGATAATCTTAAAGCTGAAATAATGACGAGCCACGTAACGTTGTAAACGCTACTTATGTGGCCAAGGCTGTGTCTAATGCGTTACTCTTTCTGTATTAATGGAGACAAACAACGTTAGAGGCGACCTTTGCTGAAATACTTAGGTGATATATTTATGAAACATGACTTCATCAGAGTGTCTCCAGCCTTAATGAGCGTTTTATGTAGCCACTTCTATTGATGTCCAGAAATGAGCTTTACGTTTCAAAGCATATGACGTGTAGAGGGTAGAAGTTCAGAATTGGAGTGCAGAATCTTCAGGTGTGTCCAAATTGCCTGGCTGCGATGTGTTGTGGAGCAATTTGCACCACCTGCAATCTGGCTTTAATGGACTTGAATTATACCAAAAAGCCGAACGCCATTTTGCGATCTTTTAAGCAGGTGAAGCAGTGGCGTATGAACTCCTCCTTCCTCGTGGAGAAGCGTAATCAACGCGCCACAACGTTCATTGGCAGTGACGCAGGCACATTTTGCTCCGATGAACCCTTTGGGCGGGCAACACTGCTGGAAGCACCATCGCTGTTGATGGGAGAGACATTAGAGGATTGGATGTACTGGCAGCGCGACGCGAGTAACGCACACTGTTGGACCAAGGTGTATGGCGTACTCGACAATGAGTTCTTATGGCTATTTAAGGGAAACCACTCAAGCCGAACAATGTTCCTTCAAATTGCCGTCTCAAGCGTCGAAGTGTCAGGACAACGCCAATTGAGGCTTGTGGATCCGAACGGTGAAGATATGGAAATATGGTTGCTGGACGAGATCAGTTTTATCACGTGGCGCCAGCGGTTCGAGGAAGCCGCCGCGCTCACTACGCAGTTCTTCCGCATGACGGAACTAGAAGCGCATAGGCTCCCTCGAAGCAGTGCTTATCGTGGAAGCCTTGTCAAGTATCGCCGCGCCAGCAAGCAAACGCGCTACAAGGCTGCGATTGAGTGGGTAGCAACACGCTGGAGGGAGAGATTTCTTCAGCCCACGCGATGAATCGTCAGATTGAGCAATCTTCACCGAGATTAGTCAAACTGGCCATCTGCTGTGTACTAGGTACCTAAATTGCCTCTGAAATACCACCGATGTCGGAGTTGGTGGGCGGGGTCGGCATGGGAAGGTCTTCCTCAATTATTAATAAATCATAACTTCTAAGCTAATAAGCTAAATTAATTAATGTACGAAGCGTTCCACGCGTTCCCATATGAGTCACAATCTTGGAATTTGCAGAAGAAGCAATAAGTGTTGCCGATTTTGAGACTGTGAAGGCCACGGGATTTGCCGTTTACGGCCTGCAGAACTCACGAATTGCCAGTTCGGTCGCGGTCGTGAAAAAGCGAGGTAGAACAACAACTCACAGCTTGCTGTAGCTAAGCAATCCAGAAAGGATCTCGTAAAATGTCGATCTAGTTTGTGCTACGTGAATCTATGTGATTAAGCAGTTTCTCATAAATGTTAGAAGTAGTCCATGATACATGTACAAAAGGTAATCGACAACAAAATGTTTTGTCCCGTCTATCGTACACTTTGCACCCGCTCATCATCACTTCGCAATTTGCGCCGCAAATAGTTCAATCACGGAGCGCAAGTCATGCGACGACTGTCGTTGACGGCAATGCCATCACGCCGACATAAATCGCGTGCAAGTCTTAATTCAACAGCTGATAAATCTGCAAACAATCTTCGCTCAACATTTGGTAACTTTGGCATGTATTCGTCATCCGTGGCCACGTCAGCGTCTTCGGAGTCGCTCACATCGTTATCGACCGCTTCCAGCTCATATGGCGGTCTTATGGAAGATTTTGACGACAAAGGGGGGGAATATGAGGATGAACAGTGCTACGAACAAGGATGGGTGTATTGGAAGCAGCGTGACGATTGCTGGCTTAAAATGTACGCACGTCTGCGCAACGAGCTACTGTTGCTTTCTAAGGGCGCTGATGACGTAGTGGCCGTTGTACAGATTGCAGTTGCAGGCGCTCACACAACAGACATTGGCGGTTTTGTCGCCTGTGGTCCCGCTGGCGAAAGCATGGAGCTTTTTGCCTATGAACGCAAGCGTACACAGCAATGGATAGACGCACTTTACGTTGCCGCGAAGCTCACTCAATCTTACAAGCGCTCGGTAGCGGCTGAACAGACAGATACGGAAATTTCGCCTCGGAAGATCAAAGAGGTGGAGCAGGTTTACACAGGCACGCTGGTAATCTACAACAAAGAACAGAAAAAATCTCCGTGGAAACAGCTCCTGTCTACAAAGAGACTGCGTGATGCGTGTCGCCAACGACTCGAGAAATTAGTGGACCGCTTGGACACTAGTAAGCGGTAAATTTAGCCCCGAAAATTACAGTAAACAATATGGGCATGTAGCGCGCTCGATCTATTTATCAAAGGCAATTAATTAACTCAGTCAGGTTTCAATAGCGTATCCATCTCGCTCAGAGTCTTTCTGCTTTTGCGACGGTAGAAGCCCTTATGACGTGTTGACGATATCACTCCCTATCGATCAAGTATTTTATTTCTTGAGGAAGACTTCGACATAGGTTATACAAATCTTGTCAGAGCAGATTTGCTTACATCGCTACTCTCGCTGTTAGAACAGCCTCACTTCACTTGGAACGCGATGATATGCTGGCGTTTTAAAAATGATTGGCTTGTACCCAAATATCGCAAGTTTTAAATGAGCGTCATGTCCATCGAAGTGGCTCGGTCACGACTTCGGTGATGTTCGTATGAAGGGGCGTCATCAAGCAAAACCCATCTGCTTTTGAAAGTTCAATTAGTAAATACAGCTGTTATTATTTTTTGGAGTCAAGAGCACATTTAGTTGAATTTTAGTCTATGTTCAAAATACCCTGATGGGATGACGCAGCAAGAAATTTTTGAAGCTTTTAGTATCTGCAGAAAATGAACGCAATAACATTCTTGAATATTGTTGTATTACGAATGAAGTGTTTAACAACAGCAAATGTGAAAGCTGGGCTTGAGCTGACAAGCAACCCTTCAAGGTAATAACTGGACATCAAGTACTTGCATTGTACTCTCCTGACAATTTTATTTCAGATTTACTCGTTTGTGACGCTTGCTTTGCGCTGATAAAATTCGCGGGTCCACTTAAGCATATGCTGTTTTTCAATCTGTCGCACGGCCAGAACCGACGGAGGGTCAAGTGTGTTGCTGAACATAAGATCAAGGTGGTGAGCACCACCTTCAACGGATAGAGCAATAACCGAGTCTGAATAGTTATGAAGTACTCCCGTTCCCGACCATGGATCATAGTCTCCGTTGCTAAAGACGATGTTGCTTGCTGCCCTGAGTGCTTTACGACCTCCATACTGCGTCGTGGCCCAAAACGGACGAATCTCAACGCCCCACTTAGACTTGCATCGGTCGTTGTCAGCAGTAAAGTTCCATGGGACAGGCCAGAACATATCGTTTACGCCGTCGACGCTCTGTGGTTGGTAAAGCTCAGAACAAAAAAGATAATCCCATAAGGTTGAGTCCTGATCAGACTCGTTGGATGACGCACTGAGTTGATAGCACTCGTGGTCTTTCGTGCTGTTATAGTACACGCTCAACGACTTTGAGAAAGCAGACAAGAGGCCAATTTTGTCTTCTGCTGCGAAGTTGTCAGCAACGAATGAGCACGCCACACGAACAGGGTACGCAGGTAGTACACTATCGCCATTCATGATGTACGACGACGGATACGGATAATTCCCCATCGCCATGTAGTCAAACGCCGACTTGGCCCATTCCATTAGTTTGTCCAAATCGTTTGAAGACTCCAACCTGACAGACTCACAGAGAGAAAGCGTGTTTTTCAGCTGGACACGACCTGGATTTGTCTCAAAAAGGTCTTTTATTATCGACCACGACCGCCGGATGTTCGCTGCACAATTAGGAGCAGAACCTGCCGTCTCGGTCGCGTCACGTGTCACAATTCGTTCAAAAGACTCTTTGTCTGGCGGAATTTCATCTCCGAGAAATGATAGAATCGGGGCTGATCCTGCTATGACGCCGTCGACGATGTGAGGGTATTTCATTCGGAACCACGATCCCAGCATGCCTCCATAAGATCCTCCAAAACCAATGACTGGAATATCTCGCTTCCACACGTCCTTCAAGTACGTTATCAATATCGCGTAGTCAGCCAGGACCTGCTCTGTCGAGAGATACTTCAAGTGCTTCGTCACATCCTTGCCGAACGGCACCGACTGACCAAAGTACCGGTGCTCTGCGAACACGAGCATAGCACCAAACTCCTTGGCGTTTTCCCACATCAGACCTGTATGGTTTAGATACAGCTCAACATTTGCCTCGTTGCCAACGTAAAAAAACATAACGCCTCCCGGGCGATAGAAATTATCGCAGACGAAGTATCGTTGTCGATAGCTGAGTGCCCCAAAGTCGAAGTGGTCAAGTGTCTGCTTGAAGAAATTTTCGACACAATTATTCATTACCTTTCCTTGGACGAGATCAAGGCTAATAGGTGGCTGACGAACTTCTGTCAATAAGGAAGCAGGCGTTGATGCAACGCTCATTGAGCTAAAGATTATCGCGAGCAGCAGCAAAGGTGTTGCTAAAAGTACCGCGACTACCAGCAATCTTTTCTGACGTCTACGAAGCGTTTCATCGCGGCTGGAGATTACCGTACTTGGAAGCATCGGCGTCATCTCTTGAGCCATATCTTTTCGCATCGTAGATTTTCTGTAAATTTGTAGCATTCATTTTCTGGAAAATATTAATTTCCCCGTTGTTCACGAATTTTGATAATTTTCGCTCATAGTCATATCATTGCGAACTGTCTGGCATTCGTCGCACGACGCTTGATATTTAGCAGACTTTCCACGGCACCACGAAACCCGAAGTTTTATGCTGACAGTCAGCAATCCTGGGCTGTGAGCCTTGTCTCTTTAAGAATATCGCCCTCTAGGGATGTTTCCCATTCATCTCGACCTCCACGAGATACAATAGTCTCGACCTCTACAAGGTTCCAGTTCTTTCCATTACGTCGTTCTGACCCGGGACTCTGCATTCACCGTGAAGGGTTCGCTATTTGCCTATTCGTTGGAGCTTAACCTTTTATACCTCTTAATTGAGACGGAAGAGAACACGACGTGGGTGTTTGACAATTTCGCATATTTAATATTCGCTGCGATTGTATGGTGCTGTGCCACAGTCACGAAATTATTTAGACTTGCTGAAGATCCATCGCCTCTAATGGTTCATAGAGCTTCCACCCCTTTGCACTCCAACAATTGACGACTGATAATTTTCTGCCTTCACGTACCCAGCAGGTCTTTTCTCGTCACCACCACACAAGATGACCCTATTCGTCCCTCCCTCATTTCTATGAACCAGAAAAATTTCACTTTTGTATCGAACGCAGTCAGTTCATTTACCAATTACCCAAAATTCGTCACCTCGTCTAAAGTGAGTCATTAAACGATGTTGTGCTGAACATCCTTAAGCTACATTGACGAACATCCCACTAAAAGGCATTCGCGATTAATGCTTCCACGCGTGCCCCTGTGACCACCGGCTATGGAACATCGAGCTAAATGTCATCTTTGCAGCTTTCCATATGCACTGATCAAGCACCGCGCGAGGCTATACAACCACAAGCACACCTTCAAGGTGAAGAAGAGTTGGCCGATTGCTTCTTTCTGGACGCGACCAATTTTTCGTACCGCGATAGAATCTTTGTTTTTATCGATGAGATGTTTAAGGTAGAACTTACGAAAAACAATGGAGACGAGCCTTATCTCATTGAGAAATTCCAAGCGGATGCTGCGCGTCTTCACGACTGACATGGCATCCTGATGTACGATACCTTCTCTGACCGAATTGCTTCCGGCGGAAAGACTAAATTGAGAGAAGAGAAGAGAAGAGAAGAGAAGAGAAGAGAAGAGAAGAGAAGAGAAGAGAAG